TTATACGACCGCAAAAAAATTTTTGTGGTCGTATATTGGTATGACGTTGGTGTCGTCGTCGTCGTTGTCCGGCGTCGTCGTCCGAAGACGCATTAGTTTTCGCACTCTAACTTTAGTTTAAGTGAATGGATCTCTATGAAATTTTACCATAAGGTTCAATACAACAAAAGGAAGGTGGGGATTGATTTTGGGGGTTATGGTACCAACAGTTAAGGAATTAGGGGCCAAAAAGGGGCCAAAAATAAGCATTTTCTAGTTTCCAGACAATAACTGTGGAACGATGTATGGATCTCTCTGAAATTATACTACAAGTTTTCATACCACAAAGGGATGGTTAGGATTTGCTTTGGGGGGTTATGGCTCAAACCGTTTAGGAATTAGGGGCAACAAAGGGGGAAAAACAAGGTTGTCCTGGTTAATGGACAAATACTTTAGTACAAAACATAATTTAAAGCAGTGTAAGGGAGATAAATCAAATACATCATTGAAATTATCTCCCTTACACTGCTTTTAAATTATGTATAAAGTAATGGTTAATGAACAATTAAGATAATTTAAAACAGTGTAAGGGAGGTAATCCAAATACAAAGTTTTGGTTACTTCCCTTACACTGCTTTTAAATTATGTTTAAAGAAATGCATATTTATAAAGGAAGACCAGTAAAAATATCTGCAAATGTTGCATCTTTTTTTTTTACAAAAAAATCCATATGAAAGATTTGACACTATATTTTAAATTCTATTATAAAATAGATTAAGTTAGCACTATGGTAAATTTAAATGGGTACTTATGGTTTGGGGGAAAAAGGGGGGGGGGGGGGGTAAAAAGAAATTGTGGGGGGTCAATTTTTTCTCATTTCAGATTTCAGAAATTAAAAAGAATTATTCTTCAAATATTATTTTTTTTTCAAATTTCAAATATTGAAAAATTTCAAGAAGTAATCTTTAATTGCACAGTATGGCGCATTAGATTTGTAAAATCTTTGACCACATTTATTTATTTGTTATGCCGAATCTAACCGTGTATTTAGATTTTTAATTTTGGATCCAGTTGTCAAATTGGTCTACATTAAGGTCCAAAGGGTCCAAAATGAAACTTTGTTTGATTTTAGCAAAAATTTAAAAATGGGGTTCTTTGATATGCTGAATCTTAACATGTATTTAGATTTTTGATTTTTGGCCCAGTTTTCAAGTTGGTCCAAATTGGGGTCCAAAATTAAACTTTGTTTGATTTCAACAAAAATTGAATATATGGGGTTCTTTGATATGCTGAATCTAACCATGTATTATGATTTTTTATTTGTGGACCCCGCTATCAAATTGGTTCATATTGAGGTCAAAAGGGTCCAAAATTAAACTTTGTTTGATTTCATCAAAAATTGAATTATTGGGGTTCTTTGATATGCCAAATCTAACAGTGTATTTAGATTTTTAATTTTGGGTCCCATTTTTTTAATTGGTCTACATTAAGGTCCAAAGGGTCCAAAATTAAACTTAGTTTGATTTTAACAAAAATTGAATTCTTGGGGTTCTTTGATATGCTGAATCTAAACATGTGTTTAGATTTTTGATTATGGGCCCAGTTTTCAAGTTGGTCCAAGTTGGGGTCCAAAATAAAACTTTGTTTGATTTCAACAAAAATTGAATTATTGGGGTTCTTTGATATTCCAAATCTAACCCTGTATTTAGATTTTTAATTTTGGGTCCCGTTTTTTAAATTGGTCTACATTAAGGTCCAAAGGGTCCAAAATTAAACTTAGTTTGATTTTAACAAAAATTGAATTTTTGGGGTTCTTTGATATGCTGAATCTATAAATGTGTTTAGATTTTTGATTATGGGCCCAGTTTTCAAGTTGGTCTAAGTTGGGGTCCAAAATTAAACTTTGTTTGATTTCAACAAAAATTGAATATATGGGGTTCTTTGATATGCTGAATCTAAACATGTATTTAGATTTTAGATTTTTGGCCCAGTTTTCAAGTTGGTCCAAACTGGGGTCCAAATTAAACTTTGTTTGATTTCAACAAAAAATGAATACATGGGGTTCTTTGATATGCTGAATCTTACCATGTATTTAGATTTTTTATCTATCTTTTTAGGGCCTGCTATCAAATTGGTTCATATTGAGGTCAAAAGGGTCCAAAATTAAACTTTGTTTGATTTCATCAAAAATTGAATTATTGGGGTTCTTTGATATGCCAAATCTAACCGTGTTTTTAGATTTTGAATTTTGGGTCCCGTTTTTTAAATTGGTCTACATTAAGGTCCAAAGGGTCCAAAATTAAAATTAGTTTGATTTTCACAAAAATTGAATTCTTGGGGTACTTTGATATGCTGAATCTAAACATGTGTTTAGATTTTTGATTATGGGACCAGTTTTCAAGTTTGTCCAAGTTGGGGTCCAAAATTAAACTTTGTTTGATTTCAACAAAAATTGAATATATGGGGTTCTTTGATATGCTGAATCTAACCATGTATTTTGATTTTGGACATTGGACCATAATAGGTAAATTAAAAAAATTGAAGTTCTTAGACCACATTCTTTCTGTGTCAGAAACCTATGCTGTGTCAAATATTTAATCACAATCCAAATTCAGAGCTGTATCAAGCTTGAATGTTGTGTCCATACTTGCCCCAACTGTTCAGGGTTCGACCTCTGCGGTCGTATCAAGCTGCGCCCAGCGAAGCATTTTATTGGTTTATATCTTTGAAACTAAAGCATTTAGAGCAAATCTGACAGGTGGCAAAAATGTTCATCAGATTTAGATTTATCTGCCCTGAAATTTTCAGACAAATCTGACAACCCGTTGTTGGGTTGCTGCCCCTGAGTTAGTAATTTTACAAAAATTTTGCGGTTTTTTGTTATTATCTTATATATCATTATAATATCTAATATCTAATACTATTAATTATGATTTTAACCTTATTTTACATGATTTCCAAAGCATCAGTAAATACAGGTGAGCGACACAGGCTCTTGAGAGCCTCTAGTTAAATTGGTCCACATTGAGGTCCAAAGGGTCCAAAATTAAACTTTGTTTGATTTCATCAAAAATTGAATTATTGGGGTTTTTTGATATGCCGAATCTAACCGTGTATTTAGATTCTTAATTTTTGGTTCCGTTTTCAAATTGGTCTACATTAAGGTCCAAAGGGTCCAAAATTAAAATTAGTTTGATTTTAACAAAAATTGAATTCTTAGGGCTCTTTGATATGCTGAATCTAAACATGTATTTAGATTTTTGATTATGGGCCCAGTTTTCAAATTGGTCCAAATCGGGGTCCAAAATTAAACTTTGTTTGATTTCAACAAAAATTGAATATATGGGGTTCTTTGATATGCTTAATCTAACCATGTATTTAGATTTTTGATTTTTAGGCCCCTTTATCAACTTTGTCCACATTGAGGTCAAAAGGGTCCAAAATTAAACTTTGTTTGATTTCATCAAAAATTGAATTCTTGGGGTTCTTTGATATGCTGAATCTAACCATGTATTTAGATTTTGGATATTGGACCATAATAGGTGAATGTCAAATTTAAAATTTTTAAGTTCTTAGACCACATTCATTCTGTGTCAGAAACCTATGCTGTGTCAAATATTTAATCACAATCCAAATGCAAAGCTGTATCAAGCTTGAATGTTGTGTCCATACTTGCCCCAACTGTTCAGGGTTCGACCTCTGCGGTCGTATCAAGCTGCGCCCTGCATTTTATTTGTTATTATCTTGAATATTATTATAGATAGATATAAACTGTAAACAGCAATAATGTTCAGCAAAGTAAGATCTACAGAAAAGTTAAATGACCAAATTTGTCAATTGACCCCTTAAGGAGTTATTGGCCTTTAAAGACAATTTTACGCAATGTGTTCATCAAGTTTGCTAACATTTAAAAATCTTCTCTTCTGAAACTATTGTGCCTAATACTTCTTAACTTTGAATGAATGTTCCTTTAGGAATCTAGTTTATGAATTGTATCCGAAATTTTGATCCATCAGCAAACATGGCCGCCATGGCTAAAAATAGAACATAGGGGTGAAATGCAGTTTTTGGCTTATATCTCAGAAACTAAAGCATTTAGAGCAAATCTGACATGGGGTTAGATGTTCAAAAGGTCAAGATCTATCAGCCCTGAAATTTCCAGACACACCTAACAACCCATTGTTGGGTTGCTGCCACTAAATTGGTAGTTTTAAGGAAATTTTGCAGTTTTTGGTTATTATCTTGAATATTATTGAAGATAAAGATAAACTGTAAACAGCAAAAATGTTCAGCAAAGTAAGATCTACAAAAAATTTCAATATGACCATAATTGTCAATTGACCCCTTAAGGAGTTATTGCCCTTTAAGGAGAATTTTACACAAGTTGTTTTATGTTTTTTAACTTTAAAAATCTTCTCAAATGAATCTAGTATAAATTTTGTATTTCATTTCCTTGTACCTCAAGAAACATATACACTATGGCTAAAATGGAACATATGGGTAAAAAGCAAAAATAATCATTGATGAAAGATTTAAGCAAAAAAAAATAACAGGTGAGCGATTCAGGCTCTTGAGAGCCTCTTGTTTTAAAGAAATTCTTTAGTAAATTGTTTGAAAAATATGTGCCAGTTTGTTTGTTTGTTATTTTGTATTAACTAATTTTCTGAATGCTATATATATAAAAAAAAATATTATTAAGTGAAATCCTTTAATTAGATAATAATCTATTTTTATTAAGGTATGTATTTCATTGCATAACATTGTGTAGATAAAAGTTGTTGACACTTTATAGATAAGTTACAAATCTATATTAGTTTGTGACAAATGAAAGAAAAAATATTTGGAACTATTAATTATATTTGATTATAATTCGAAAATAGATATACATTGTATTACATCATATCTAATTTTAGAGACCTATTATTCATATCCAATGTTAAGAGTGTTTTCCACACTTTTTCTCATCATGCTTGAAGATATTGATTGATATTGGTATATAGTTTTATCATGACAAGTTCCAGGTTGGGATTGATTTTGGGGGTTATGGTACCAACAGTTAAGGAATTAGGGGCCAAAAAGGGGCCAAAAATAAGCATTTTTGTAACTTTCAGACAATAACTTGTGTGTAAGTGTATGGATCTCTCTGACATTGTACCACAAGGTTCCATATCACAAAGGGAAGGCTGTAATTGATTTTGGGGGTAATTGCCTCAAAATTTTAGGAATTAGGGGCCAAAAAAGGGGCAAAAAACAAGCATTTTTCTAGTTTCATGACAATAACTTGTGTGTAAGTGTTTGGATATTTCTGAAATTGTACTACAAGGTTCCATATCACAAAGGGAAAGCTGGGTTTGAGTTTGGGGGTAATTGCCCGAAACGTTTAGGAATTGGGGGCCAAAAAGGGGCCAAATATAAGCATTTTTCTAGTTTCCAGACAATAACTTGTGTTCAAGTGTATGGATCTCTCTGAAATTGTACTGCAAGGTACCATACCACAAAGGGAAGGTTGGGATTGAGTTTGGGGGTGATGAATCATAAGGTGGTTCAAAAAATTGGGGGGGGGGGATTTTTTTTTTTTTTTTTTTTTCTTTTTATTCCTTTTTTTTTTCTTTTAAAATTTTCCATTTTAAGTTGGTTATTTCTGATTTATATTTAAAAGCAAATAATAATGATATGGTAGGAGATACACACCAAACAGGATGTGTAAATTATTATATAATAAGTATTGTGCAATAGCAAGAAATTTTCAATTGCACAGTATTGCACAATAGCAAGAAATCTTCAATTGCACAGTATTGCGCAATAGCAAGAAATCTTCAATTTAACAGTATTGCGCAATAGCAAGAAATATCCAATAGCACAATATTGCGCAATAGCAAGAAATTGTCAATTGTACAGTATTGCGCAATAGCAAGAAATATTCAATTGCACAGTATTGTGCAAAAGAAGATACTTCGTATAAATTGCTTATTTCTTGATCAATTTCAATGGGGTTTTATTCTTGAATTCTTGGGGTTCTTTAGTATGCTGAATCTAACCGTGTATTAAGTTTTTGGATTTTGGGCCCCGTTTTTAAATTGGTCCACATTGAGGTCCAAAGGGTCCAAAATTTAACTTTGTTTGATTTCATCAAAAATTGAATTATTGGGGTTCTTTGATATGCCGAATCTAACCGTGTATTTAGATTTTTAATTTTGGGTCCCGTTTTTTAAATTGGTCTACATTAAGGTCCAAAGGGTCCAAAATTAAACTTAGTTTGATTTTAACAAAAATTGAATTCTTAGGGTTCTTTGATATGCTGAATCTAAACATGTGTTTAGATTTTTGATTTTGGGCCCAGTTTTCAAGTTGGTCCAAGTTGGGGTCCAAAATTAAACTTTGTTTGATTTCAACAAAAATTGAATATATGGGGTTCTTTGATATGCTGAATCTAAACATGTATTTAGATTTTAGATTTTTGGCCCAGTTTTCAAGTTGGTCCAAATTGGGGTCCAAAATTAAACTTTGTTTGATTTCAACAAAAAATGAATATATGGGGTTCTTTGATATGCTGAATCTTACCATGTATTTAGATTTTTTATTTGTGGGCCCGCTATCAAATTGGTTCATATTGAGGTCAAAAGGGTCCACAATTAAACTTTGTTTGATTTCATCAAAAATTGAATTATTGGGGTTCTTTGATATGCCAAATCTAACCGTGTATTTAGATTTTTAATTTTGGGTCCTGTTTTTTAAATTGGTCTACATTAAGGTCCAAAGGGTCCAAAATTAAACTTAGTTTGATTTTAACAAAAATTGAATTTTTGGGGTTCTTTGATATGCTGAATCTAAACATGTGTTTAGATTTTTGATTATGGGACCAGTTTTCAAGTTGGTCCAAGTTGGGGTCCAAAATTAAACTTTGTTTGATTTCAACAAAAATTGAATATATGGGGTTCTTTGATATGCTGAATCTAAACATGTATTTAGATTTTAGATTTTTGGCCCAGTTTTCAAGTTGGTCCAAATTGGGGTCCAAAATTAAACTTTGTTTGATTTCAACAAAAATTGAATATATGGGGTTCTTTGATATGCTGAATCTTACCATGTATTTAGATTTTTTATTTGTGGGCCCGCTATCAAATTGGTTCATATTGAGGTCAAAAGGGTCTAAAATTAAACTTTGTTTGATTTCATCAAAAATTGAATTATTGGGGTTCTTTGATATGCCAAATCTAACCGTGTTTTTAGATTTTTTATTTTGGGTCCCGTTTTTTAAATTTGTCTACATTAAGGTCCAAAGGGTCCAAAATTAAACTTAGTTTGATTTTAACAAAAATTGAATTCTTCAGGTACTTTGATATGCTGAATCTAAACATGTGTTTAGATTTTTGATTATGGGACCAGTTTTCAAGTTTGTCCAAGTTGGGGTCCAAAATTAAACTTTGTTTGATTTCAACAAAAATTGAATATATGGGGTTCTTTGATATGCTGAATCTAACCATGTATTTTGATTTTGGACATTGGACCATAATAGGTAAATTAAAAAAATTGAAGTTCTTAGACCACATTCTTTCTGTGTCAGAAACCTATGCTGTGTCAAATATTTAATCACAATCCAAATTCAGAGCTGTATCAAGCTTGAATGTTGTGTCCATACTTGCCCCAACTGTTCAGGGTTCGACCTCTGCGGTCGTATCAAGCTGCGCCCAGCGAAGCATTTTATTAATTTTGGGTCCAGTTTTCAAATTGGTCTACATTAAGGTCCAAAGGGTCCAAAATTAAACTTTGTTTGATTTTAGCAAAAATTGAATATATGAGGTTCTTAGATATGCTGAATCTAAACATTTATTTAGATTTTTGATTTTTGGCCCAGTTTTCAAGTTGGTCCAAATTGGGGTCCAAAATTAAACTTTGTTTGATTTCAACAAAAATTGAATATATGGGGTTCTTTGATATGCTGAATCTAACCATGTATTTAGATTTTTTATTTGTGGACCCCGTTATCAAATTGGTTCATATTGAGGTCCAAAGGGTCCAAAATGAAACTTTGTTTGATTTTAACAAAAATTTAAAAATGGGGTTCTTTGATATGCTGAATCTTAACATGTATTTAGATTTTTGATTTTTGGCCCAGTTTTCAAGTTGGTCCAAATTGGGGTCCAAAATTAAACTTTGTTTGATTTCAACAAAAATTGAATATATGGGGTTCTTTGATATGCTGAATCTAACCATGTATTATGATTTTTTATTTGTGGACCCCGCTATCAAATTGGTTCATATTGAGGTCAAAAGGGTCCAAAATTAAACTTTGTTTGATTTCATCAAAAATTGAATTATTGGGGTTCTTTGATATGCCAAATCTAACAGTGTATTTAGATTTTTAATTTTGGGTCCCATTTTTTTAATTGGTCTACATTAAGGTCCAAAGGGTCCAAAATTAAACTTAGTTTGATTTTAACAAAAATTGAATTCTTGGGGTTCTTTGATATGCTGAATCTAAACATGTGTTTAGATTTTTGATTATGGGCCCAGTTTTCAAGTTGGTCCAAGTTGGGGTCCAAAATAAAACTTTGTTTGATTTCAACAAAAATTGAATTATTGGGGTTCTTTGATATTCCAAATCTAACCGTGTATTTAGATTTTTAATTTTGGGTCCCGTTTTTTAAATTGGTCTACATTAAGGTCCAAAGGGTCCAAAATTAAACTTAGTTTGATTTTAACAAAAATTGAATTTTTGGGGTTCTTTGATATGCTGAATCTATAAATGTGTTTAGATTTTTGATTATGGGCCCAGTTTTCAAGTTGGTCTAAGTTGGGGTCCAAAATTAAACTTTGTTTGATTTCAACAAAAATTGAATATATGGGGTTCTTTGATATGCTGAATCTAAACATGTATTTAGATTTTAGATTTTTGGCCCAGTTTTCAAGTTGGTCCAAACTGGGGTCCAAATCAAACTTTGTTTGATTTCAACAAAAAATGAATACATGGGGTTCTTTGATATGCTGAATCTTACCATGTATTTAGATTTTTTATCTATCTTTTTAGGGCCTGCTATCAAATTGGTTCATATTGAGGTCAAAAGGGTCCAAAATTAAACTTTGTTTGATTTCATCAAAAATTGAATTATTGGGGTTCTTTGATATGCCAAATCTAACCGTGTTTTTAGATTTTGAATTTTGGGTCCCGTTTTTTAAATTGGTCTACATTAAGGTCCAAAGGGTCCAAAATTAAAATTAGTTTGATTTTCACAAAAATTGAATTCTTGGGGTACTTTGATATGCTGAATCTAAACATGTGTTTAGATTTTTGATTATGGGACCAGTTTTCAAGTTTGTCCAAGTTGGGGTCCAAAATTAAACTTTGTTTGATTTCAACAAAAATTGAATATATGGGGTTCTTTGATATGCTGAATCTAACCATGTATTTTGATTTTGGACATTGGACCATAATAGGTAAATTAAAAAAATTGAAGTTCTTAGACCACATTCTTTCTGTGTCAGAAACCTATGCTGTGTCAAATATTTAATCACAATCCAAATTCAGAGCTGTATCAAGCTTGAATGTTGTGTCCATACTTGCCCCAACTGTTCAGGGTTCGACCTCTGCGGTCGTATCAAGCTGCGCCCAGCGAAGCATTTTATTGGTTTATATCTTTGAAACTAAAGCATTTAGAGCAAATCTGACAGGTGGCAAAAATGTTCATCAGATTTAGATTTATCTGCCCTGAAATTTTCAGACAAATCTGACAACCCGTTGTTGGGTTGCTGCCCCTGAGTTAGTAATTTTACAAAAATTTTGCGGTTTTTTGTTATTATCTTATATATCATTATAATATCTAATATCTAATACTATTAATTATGATTTTAACCTTATTTTACATGATTTCCAAAGCATCAGTAAATACAGGTGAGCGACACAGGCTCTTGAGAGCCTCTAGTTAAATTGGTCCACATTGAGGTCCAAAGGGTCCAAAATTAAACTTTGTTTGATTTCATCAAAAATTGAATTATTGGGGTTTTTTGATATGCTGAATCTAACCATGTATTTAGATTTTGGATATTGGACCATAATAGGTGAATGTCAAATTTAAAATTTTTAAGTTCTAAGACCACATTCATTCTGTGTCAGAAACCTATGCTGTGTCAAATATTTAATCACAATCCAATTGCAAAGCTGTATCAAGCTTGAATGTTGTGTCCATACTTGCCCCAACTGTTCAGGGTTCGACCTCTGCGGTCGTATCAAGCTGCGCCCTGCATTTTATTTGTTATTATCTTGAATATTATTATAGATAGATATAAACTGTAAACAGCAATAATGTTCAGCAAAGTAAGATCTACAGAAAAGTTAAATGACCAAATTTGTCAATTGACCCCTTAAGGAGTTATTGGCCTTTAAAGACAATTTTACGCAATGTGTTCATCAAGTTTGCTAACATTTAAAAATCTTCTCTTCTGAAACTATTGTGCCTAATACTTCTTAACTTTGAATGAATGTTCCTTTAGGAATCTAGTTTATGAATTGTATCCGAAATTTTGATCCATCAGCAAACATGGCCGCCATGGCTAAAAATAGAACATAGGGGTGAAATGCAGTTTTTGGCTTATATCTCAGAAACTAAAGCATTTAGAGCAAATCTGACATGGGGTTAGATGTTCAAAAGGTCAAGATCTATCAGCCCTGAAATTTCCAGACACACCTAACAACCCATTGTTGGGTTGCTGCCACTAAATTGGTAGTTTTAAGGAAATTTTGCAGTTTTTGGTTATTATCTTGAATATTATTGAAGATAAAGATAAACTGTAAACAGCAAAAATGTTCAGCAAAGTAAGATCTACAAAAAATTTCAATATGACCATAATTGTCAATTGACCCCTTAAGGAGTTATTGCCCTTTAAGGAGAATTTTACACAAGTTGTTTTATGTTTTTTAACTTTAAAAATCTTCTCAAATGAATCTAGTATAAATTTTGTATTTCATTTCCTTGTACCTCAAGAAACATATACACTATGGCTAAAATGGAACATATGGGTAAAAAGCAAAAATAATCATTGATGAAAGATTTAAGCAAAAAAAAATAACAGGTGAGCGATTCAGGCTCTTGAGAGCCTCTTGTTTTAAAGAAATTCTTTAGTAAATTGTTTGAAAAATATGTGCCAGTTTGTTTGTTTGTTATTTTGTATTAACTAATTTTCTGAATGCTATATATATAAAAAAAAATATTATTAAGTGAAATCCTTTAATTAGATAATAATCTATTTTTATTAAGGTATGTATTTCATTGCATAACATTGTGTAGATAAAAGTTGTTGACACTTTATAGATAAGTTACAAATCTATATTAGTTTGTGACAAATGAAAGAAAAAATATTTGGAACTATTAATTATATTTGATTATAATTCGAAAATAGATATACATTGTATTACATCATATCTAATTTTAGAGACCTATTATTCATATCCAATGTTAAGAGTGTTTTCCACACTTTTTCTCATCATGCTTGAAGATATTGATTGATATTGGTATATAGTTTTATCATGACAAGTTCCAGATCATGTTAAAATTTTTGTTTTGGTCTGATAATTTTCTGCATGTTATGGTCCTTGGACTTGAAAAATTCACTCATATAATCAGTTATTCACACTGTTTTTAGTCATGCTTAAATATAATGACTTGATATTTACTTTTTGTTTACATCATGACAAGTTATAGAACAAGTGAGCATTTTGTTCCAGTATAATGTAATTTTTACTCGGTAGGGGACTATGTATTGCCATGCAATACTCTCAGAATGCTTGTTGCCCTAAACGTTTAGGAATTTGGGGCCAAAAAGGGGCCTAAAAACAAGCATTTTTACAGTTTCCAGACAATAACTTGTGTTCAAGTGTATGGATCTCTCAGAAATTGTACTGCAAGGTACCATACCACAAAGGGAAGGCTGGGATTGAGTTTGATGAATCATAAGGGGGTTCAAAAAATTGGGGGGGGGGGGGATTTTTTTTCATTTTTTCATTTTTATACGACCGCAAACAAATTTTGTGGTCGTATATTGGTATAACGTCGGCGTCGTCGTCCAAAGACACATTGGTTTTCGCACTCTAACTTTAGTTTAAGTGAATGGATCTTTTTGAAATTTGACCATAAGGTTAAATACCACAAAAGGAAGGTTGGGATTGATTTTGGGGGTTATAGTACCAACAGTTAAGGAATTAGGGGCCAAAAATAAGCATTTTCTAGTTTCCAGACAATAACTGTGGAACGGTGTATGGATCTCTCTGAAATTATACTACAAGTTTCCATACCACAAAGGGATGGTTAGGATTTGCTTTGGGGGGTTATGGCTCAAACCGTTTAGGAATTAGGGGCAACAAAGGGGGAAAAACAAAGGTTGTCCTGGTTAATGGACAAATACTTTAGTACAAAACATAATTTAAAGCAGTGTAAGGGAGATAAATCAAATACATCATTGAAATTATCTCCCTTACACTGCTTTTAAATTATGTATAAAGTAATGGTTAATGAACAATAAAGATAATTTAAAACAGTGTAAGGGAGGTAATCCAAATACAACGTTTTGGTTACTTCCCTTACACTGCTTTTAAATTATGTTTAAAGAAATGCATATTTATAAAGGAAGACCAGTAAAAATATCTGCAAATGTTGCATCTTTTTTTTTTACAAAAAAATCCATATGAAAGATTTGACACTATATTTTTAATTCTATTATAAAATAGATTAAGTTAGCACTATGGTAAATTTAAATGGGTAATTATGGTTGCCAACTCCATTGGAAATTTGAATTGAGATTATGACCATATCTTGAGGGAAAGAATTTTTTTGGGGAAAAAAAGGGGGGGGGAATAAAAAGAAATTGTGGGGGGTCAATTTTTTCTCATTTCAGATTTCAGAAATTAAAAAGAATTATTCTTCAAATATTATTTTTTTTTCAAATTTCAAATATTGAAAAATTTCAAGAAGTAATCTTTAATTGCACAGTATGGCGCATTAGATTTGTAAAATCTTTGATCACATTTATTTATTTGTTATGCCGAATCTAACAGTGTATTTAGATTTTTATACGACCGCAAAAATTAAAAATTTTTTGGTCGTATATTGGTATGACGTTGGCGTCGTCCGAAGACACATTGGTTTTCGCACTCTAACTTTAGTTTAAGTTAAGGGATCTCCATGAAATTTCACCATAAGGTTCAATACCACGAAAGGAAGGTTGGGATTGATTTTGGGGGTTATGGTACCAACAGTTAAGGAATTAGGGGCCAAAAAGGGGCCAAAAATAAGCATTTTTGTAACTTTCAGACAATAACTTGTGTGTAAGTGTATGGATCTCTCTGACATTGTACCACAAGGTTCCATATCACAAAGGGAAGGCTGTAATTGATTTTGGGGGTAATTGCCTCAAAATTTTAGGAATTAGGGGCCAAAAAAGGGGCAAAAAACAAGCATTTTTCTAGTTTCATGACAATAACTTGTGTGTAAGTGTTTGGATATTTCTGAAATTGTACTACAAGGTTCCATATCACAAAGGGAAAGCTGGGTTTGAGTTTGGGGGTAATTGCCCGAAACGTTTAGGAATTGGGGGCCAAAAAGGGGCCAAATATAAGCATTTTTCTAGTTTCCAGACAATAACTTGTGTTCAAGTGTATGGATCTCTCTGAAATTGTACTGCAAGGTACCATACCACAAAGGGAAGGTTGGGATTGAGTTTGGGGGTGATGAATCATAAGGTGGTTCAAAAAATTGGGGGGGGGGGATTTTTTTTTTTTTTTTTTTTTCTTTTTATTCCTTTTTTTTTTCTTTTAAAATTTTCCATTTTAAGTTGGTTATTTCTGATTTATATTTAAAAGCAAATAATAATGATATGGTAGGAGATACACACCAAACAGGATGTGTAAATTATTATATAATAAGTATTGTGCAATAGCAAGAAATTTTCAATTGCACAGTATTGCACAATAGCAAGAAATCTTCAATTGCACAGTATTGCGCAATAGCAAGAAATCTTCAATTTAACAGTATTGCGCAATAGCAAGAAATATCCAATAGCACAATATTGCGCAATAGCAAGAAATTGTCAATTGTACAGTATTGCGCAATAGCAAGAAATATTCAATTGCACAGTATTGTGCAAAAGAAGATACTTCGTATAAATTGCTTATTTCTTGATCAATTTCAATGGGGTTTTATTCTTGAATTCTTGGGGTTCTTTAGTATGCTGAATCTAACCGTGTATTAAGTTTTTGGATTTTGGGCCCCGTTTTTAAATTGGTCCACATTGAGGTCCAAAGGGTCCAAAATTTAACTTTGTTTGATTTCATCAAAAATTGAATTGTTGGGGTTCTTTGATATGCCGAATCTAACCGTGTATTTAGATTTTTAATTTTGGGTCCCGTTTTTTAAATTGGTCTACATTAAGGTCCAAAGGGTCCAAAATTAAACTTAGTTTGATTTTAACAAAAATTGAATTCTTAGGGTTCTTTGATATGCTGAATCTAAACATGTGTTTAGATTTTTGATTTTGGGCCCAGTTTTCAAGTTGGTCCAAGTTGGGGTCCAAAATTAAACTTTGTTTGATTTCAACAAAAATTGAATATATGGGGTTCTTTGATATGCTGAATCTAAACATGTATTTAGATTTTAGATTTTTGGCCCAGTTTTCAAGTTGGTCCAAATTGGGGTCCAAAATTAAACTTTGTTTGATTTCAACAAAAAATGAATATATGGGGTTCTTTGATATGCTGAATCTTACCATGTATTTAGATTTTTTATTTGTGGGCCCGCTATCAAATTGGTTCATATTGAGGTCAAAAGGGTCCACAATTAAACTTTGTTTGATTTCATCAAAAATTGAATTATTGGGGTTCTTTGATATGCCAAATCTAACTGTGTATTTAGATTTTTAATTTTGGGTCCTGTTTTTTAAATTGGTCTACATTAAGGTCCAAAGGGTCCAAAATTAAACTTAGTTTGATTTTAACAAAAATTGAATTTTTGGGGTTCTTTGATATGCTGAATCTAAACATGTGTTTAGATTTTTGATTATGGGACCAGTTTTCAAGTTGGTCCAAGTTGGGGTCCAAAATTAAACTTTGTTTGATTTCAACAAAAATTGAATATATGGGGTTCTTTGATATGCTGAATCTAAACATGTATTTAGATTTTAGATTTTTGGCCCAGTTTTCAAGTTGGTCCAAATTGGGGTCCAAAATTAAACTTTGTTTGATTTCAACAAAAATTGAATATATGGGGTTCTTTGATATGCTGAATCTTACCATGTATTTAGATTTTTTATTTGTGGGCCCGCTATCAAATTGGTTCATATTGAGGTCAAAAGGGTCTAAAATTAAACTTTGTTTGATTTCATCAAAAATTGAATTATTGGGGTTCTTTGATATGCCAAATCTAACCGTGTTTTTAGATTTTTAATTTTGGGTCCCGTTTTTTAAATTTGTCTACATTAAGGTCCAAAGGGTCCAAAATTAAACTTAGTTTGATTTTAACAAAAATTGAATTCTTCAGGTACTTTGATATGCTGAATCTAAACATGTGTTTAGATTTTTGATTATGGGACCAGTTTTCAAGTTTGTCCAAGTTGGGGTCCAAAATTAAACTTTGTTTGATTTCAACAAAAATTGAATATATGGGGTTCTTTGATATGCTGAATCTAACCATGTATTTTGATTTTGGACATTGGACCATAATAGGTAAATTAAAAAAATTGAAGTTCTTAGACCACATTCTTTCTGTGTCAGAAACCTATGCTGTGTCAAATATTTAATCACAATCCAAATTCAGAGCTGTATCAAGCTTGAATGTTGTGTCCATACTTGCCCCAACTGTTCAGGGTTCGACCTCTGCGGTCGTATCAAGCTGCGCCCAGCGAAGCATTTTATTAATTTTGGGTCCAGTTTTCAAATTGGTCTACATTAAGGTCCAAAGGGTCCAAAATTAAACTTTGTTTGATTTTAGCAAAAATTGAATATATGAGGTTCTTAGATATGCTGAATCTAAACATTTATTTAGATTTTTGATTTTTGGCCCAGTTTTCAAGTTGGTCCAAATTGGGGTCCAAAATTAAACTTTGTTTGATTTCAACAAAAATTGAATATATGGGGTTCTTTGATATGCTGAATCTAACCATGTATTTAGATTTTTTATTTGTGGACCCCGTTATCAAATTGGTTCATATTGAGGTCAAAAGGGTCCAAAATTAAATTTTGCTTGGTTTCATCTAAAATTGAATTCTTGGGGTTCTTTGATATTCCAAATCTAGCCGTGTATTTAAATTTTTAATTTTGGGTCCTGTTTTTTAAATTGGTCTACATTAAGGTCCAAAGGGTCCAAAATTAAACTTAGTTTGATTTTAACAAAAATTGAATTCTTGGGGTTCTTTGATATGCTGAATCTAAACGTGTTTAGATTTTTGATTATGGGCCCAGTTTTCAAGTTGGTCCAAGATAGGGTCCAGTATTTAAACTTTGTTTGATTTCAACAAAAATTGAATATATGGGGTTCTTTGATATGCTGAATCTAACCATGTATTTAGATTTTTTATTTGTGGGCCCCGCTATCAAATTGGTTCATATTGAGGTCAAAAGGTCCAAAATTAAACTTTGTTTGATTTCATCAAAAATTGAATTATTGGGGTTCTTTGATATGCCAAATCTAACCGTGTTTTTAGATTTTTAATTTGGGTCCCGTTTTTTAAATTGGTCTTCATTGAGGTCCAAAGGGTCCAAAATTAAACTTAGTTTGATTTTAACAAAAATTGAATTCTTGGGGTTCTTTGATATGCTGAATCTAAACATGTGTTTAGATTTTTGATTATGGGCCCAGTTTTCAAGTTGGTCCAAGTTGGGGTCCAAAATTAAACTTTTTTTGATTTCAACAAAAATTGACTATATGGGGTTCTTTGATATGCTGAATCTAACCATGAATTTAGATTTTTTATTTGTGGGCCCCGCTATCAAATTGGTTCATATTGAGGTCAAAAGGGTCCAAAATTAAACTTTGTTTGATTTCATCAAAAATTGAATTCTTGGGGTTCTTTGATATTCCAAATCTAACCGTGTATTTAGATTTTTAATTTTAAGTCCCGTTTTTTAAATTGGTCTACATTAAGGTCCAAAGGGTCCAAAATTAAACTTAGTTTGATTTTAGCAAAAATTGAATTCTTGGGGTTCTTTGATATGCTGAATCTAAACATGTGTTTAGATTTTTGATTATGGGCCCAGTTTTCAAGTTTGTCCAAGTTGGGGTTCAAAATTAAACTTTGTTTGATTTCAACAAAAATTGAAAATATGGGGTTCTTTGATATGCTGAATCTAACCATGTATTTTGATTTTGGACATTGGACTATAATAGGTAAATTAAAAAAATTCAAGTTCTTAGACCACATTATTTCTGTGTCAGAAACCTATGCTGTGTCAAATATTTAATAACAATCCAAATTCAGAGCTGTATCAAGCTTGAATGTTGTGTCCATACTTGCCCAAACTGTTCAGGGTTCGACCTCTGCGGTCGTATCAAGCTGCGCCCCAGCGAAGCATTTTATTTTTTTTCATTTTAAGTTGGTTATTTTTTATTTATACATAAAAGCAAATAATAATGATATGGTTTGATTTCATCAAAAATTGAAATATTGGGGTTCTTGATATGCTGAATTTAACTGTGTATTTAGATTCTTAATTTTTGGTCCCATTTTCATATTGGTCTACATTAAGGTCCAAAGGGTCCAAAATTAAACTTAGTTTGATTTTAACAAAAATTGAACTATTGGGGTTCATTGATATGCTGAATCTAACCGTGTATGTATTTAGATTTTGGATATTTGACCATAATAGGTAAATGTGTACTAATAAGACAGTACAAATGTGAGAAAACAAAAAAATGACATAAAACAGAAGCTACACTGGAGATGGCTATATTTTCACACTTTATAGTAAATACTTGCTGGGCAAATATGGTGACTGTTGGAATTTTTTATTGCAGAGATTAAGTGTTCTGCAAAAAAAGGAGGTTTTTTTTTGTATCGCTTTATCAAGCATTGTTGCTAGCCTCTTATCATTGCACAAAATTAAAATTATCGGAATTCAGGAAAAAACCAATCAAAGACTGTAAATATACACTAACAAAAATCACCTGTGTAATATCTCCTATACAACAAGGAATACAACAGCTAAACATCTTTAGTACTTTTCTATAAACCAATGACAAAACTTGATGGAGAGAAAAATGAACTACAGTTGCGTGTTATATATTGGAACTTTTTATACATTTTAGGTAGCTGACAAATTTGGTATAGATCCATACCTGTTTCAAGTTGTTGGTAAGTTTCTGGTTGTAATGAATCGGTACAGCACAAAATGTTAAACTGTTTATCATGTTTATTATTTCAAATTTCTTTGATATTGTTTGGATAGTTTGAAGCAAAGTGATAATGAATTCCAATATTTACAAACAACAGTAAAACCTTGTAGAATGCAAGTGTTTGATTATCTGTATGTTAACTCTATAATTCCTTTCAGTACTTTTCTCCATATAATATGCGACAAATATTCAGGGTTTACCCTGGGTCAATTTTCTTTTTCACAGACACTTTCGCTAAAACGAATATTTTTTTTTCCACCAACTTATTTTCCCTTTTGCAAACAAATAAAAGCTTTAGAAAATAAATAAGATGGATAATGTGGATCTGTTAAAATTCTTTCGCAATAAATTTTCACCAATTGTGTAATATTTTTGTTACATATTTTTTTCTCCACAAATGTGATAATGGCAACTGTCAGTGGAAACCCTGCAAATATTGAAAAAATTAAACATAAAAAACAGGGGTTTATATATTCTTGAATAGGACCTTATAAGTCCCCTACCGACGAAGTTGAAGGGGACTTTAGGTTTGCACTCACTCTGTCTGTCCATCCGTCAGTTCAGAAAATAAGTTTTCCACACTTTTTTTCTTCATGCTTGAAGATATTGATTTGATAATTGGTACATAGTGGTATCATGACAAGTTACAGATCAAGTATGAATTTTGTTCCGGTCTGATGATTTTGTGTAGAGTTATGGTCCTTGGACTTAGAAAATTCACCCAAATAATCAGTTTTCCACCCTTTTTTTGGTCATGCTTGAAGATATTGATTTGATTATTGGTATGTAGTTTTATAATGACAAGTTATAGATCAGTATAATGAAATTTTAACCGGTGGGCGAATATGTATTGCCATGCAATACTGTCAGAATGCTTGATATTTAAATGATTTCTTTTTTTTTAAATTTTACTTGATGGAGGTATTAGATTAAAATAAATAGAATGTAGACGTATATAAATAGTTTTGAATAGGATTATGATTAATTTGATATACCAAGAAATTGAGAGTTAAATTTTATTTAAACAGGGAAGAAAAATCCATTGAGGAGGAGGAAATTCCATGAGCTAAGTTTGTACAAGAAAGTTTGGATATTGAAGAGCTTATGTGACAATGTGGTGGTAAGATTCTTAATTTGTCAAAAGTATCTTTAGTAGTGCATATAGAAATTTATGAAGGATTTAAAGGAGGAGTTCATGCGATAATCCAAATCATTCAACATGAACATAAAACGGGATATTTTACTCAGATTTATTAACATGAATATCTATTGGTAATTTGTGCAGACCAATTTAGTCTCGCTTTTGTTGTAGGGGTCCATGAGACTTTTGCAAAACTCATTTTGTCTGATGACCAGAAACTTTATTATACCCCACGGAACAAAGTATAATGTTTTTGATCCGTCCGTCTGTCAGTCAGTCCATCAGTCCGTTCTCGTCATCGCAACTCTTCTGAAACCACATAACAGACTTCATGAAACTTTCTAGAAAATAAAGACATATTATGTGGATGTGCATATTGGCAGGAAATTATGATTCTATTTTTTCCTAGGAGTTATGCCCTTTGAAATTAGATTTTTGGCCTAAATATACTACTACAACAGTTTTTCATTGCAATTCCTCTAAAACCAAACAATAGAATTTTATGAAACTTTGTAGATAAGAAGAACATAACATGTAGATGTGCATTTCAACATGAAATTATGATTCAATTTTTTTCCTAGGAGTTATGCCCCTTTGAATTGAGATTTTTGTATAAATATACTTTTGCAACAGTTTGTCATCGCAATTCCTCTGAAACCACACAACAGAATTTTATGTAACTTTGTAGATACTAAGAACATAATATGTAGATGTGCATTTCAACATGAAATGATGATTCAATTTTTTTTCTAGGAGTTATGCCCCTGTGAACTTAAGATTTTTGGCCTAAATATACTTCTGCAACAGTTTGTCATCACAATTCCTCTGAAACCACACAACAGAATTTTATACAACTTTGTAGATAATAGGGACATAATATGTAGATGTGCATATCCTCAAGAAATTAATTTTTATTAGTTGACTTTTGTAGGAGTAATGAGTCTTTGAACTTAGGAATCTGGTGAGATTTTGTTTGTCCAGTGACAATGTGGGGGCGTGGCGTATGTGAGTGTGCTCTCAAAGGTTCTTAAATTATGAACATTATTTGAAGATTTTTTATGAAGAAGAAAAAAAGACATCGTTTTGATCCATACTGCTTGTAAATTGTGGAAACTGGTTTCAGCTTTGAAGTAGCAGCATTAGTACTATGCATTCATCATGTTCATATTAATGTTATGGCAAGGTGGTAAATCATGAATAGGACCTTGAATATGGTGGAGAGTTGTCTCATTGGCAATCATAACACATCTTCTTATTTTTATATTGACAATGTTATGAGTCCAATATATTGAGAAAAAAATCATACATGGGTTGGTCAGTTCTATTTTTTGGGACAAACTGCAATAAATTCATGAAATGATAAAATATATTTTAGGAAAATCAAGAATCGTTAGTAAAAACCATTGAATCACAGTATCCTGATGAACAGAAGGAATACAAGCTAGGAGAAGATGCAGATGGCAATACATATATTCATTTCCCACAATTCTGTGGAGTTGATGTCCGTATCTACAGACAAGCTTACATTCCCGAACCAGAATTTGATGAAACAGAGCAAGAGATGGAAGAGGATGATGTAGAAGAAGAAACAACCAAGTCAGCCAGGAAGAGAAAATCAGTATATGTAAATATATGAAACCACACACCCATTAAACAACAACTAACTATGTCAACAATTAATGATATTGGGTTAACTTTTAGGTGTATTGATCTATATTTAGCTCACCTGGCTGAAAGGCCAAGTGAGCTTTTCTCATCACTTGGTGTCCATTGTCATCAAGGTCTGTTAACTTTTACAAAAATCTTCTCTGAAACCACCAGGCCAAATTTGACCAAACTTGGCAACAATCCTCATTGGGGTATCTAGTTTGAAAAATGTGTCCAATGACCCCCTGCCAACCAAGATGGCTGACACAGCATAAAATAGAACATGGGAGTAAAATGCAAGTTTTGCTTATTAATTTGGAAACTTCTATTGATAGAGAAAGAGCATAAATGTTCACAATGTTGAGCTCTAAGTATTGTCGATGTAAGTCAAAACTGTCAGACGACATCTTATAGGAGTTATTGCCTTTAAATGATGATCTACATAACCAAAATCATCAAACGAATCTTTATTAAGTTATTGCCCTGTAACATGTTTAATGACGATTTTTATGCCCCCGCTGTAGCGGAGGGGGCATTCAGTTTTACCCTTGTCCGTCTGTACGTACGTCCCAAAGTTGGTTTCCGTTCTCTAACTTTAGTTTGCCTCAACCAAATGTTATACAATACTTATTACCACAAAATGCAGATCAAGTACAAATTTGGGTAGCGTCACTTCTACCATTCTTCAGTTATGTCCCTTTATAACTTTTATATGATATGCAAGCAGGGGCATCATCTGTGTCCCATGGACACATTCCCCATTTATTACCTAATATCTTAAAAACTTTAATAAATAAGTAGAAACTTTAAAAAGCAAAAAATGATCAGTAAGATAAGATCTACAAATAAGTCAAACATAACCAAATTTGTAAGTTGACTCCTTATTGAAGTTATTGCCCTTTGAAAACAATTTTTTCCCAAATTTGCCTATTGTCTTGATAACTGTAATAGATAGATAGAAACTTTAAATAGCACAAATGATCAGCAAGACCAGATCTACAAGTAAGCCATATGGTCGAAATGTTCAGTCGTTATTGAAGTTATTGCCCTTTAAGGGTAATATTTTTACATTTTTTCAATAAAAAATAAATAGATAAATAGAAACTTTAGAAAGGAAAAATTATCAGTAGGATCAGATATACAAATATGTCAACATGACTGAAATTGTCAGTTAACTCTCAATAGAGTTGTTCCCCTTTAATGATTTTTACTAAAATGTGGCCATTATTGAATATGCAGGTGAGCGACAAAGGCTCAAGAGCCTTGATTTAAAGTATTACACAGATATTATAACATTTTTGTTATAAAGCATTTATGTAAAGTATATAATTAAAATGCAGACAAAATTCTGACAGTGTTAACAAAATAAATGGAAAGACATCCAGATTCTTAAAGAATTTTCTGTCTGCTTCCTGTGAGAGAAAATCATAATGCATATATATTTGGTTTTAAAAGTGATTTTTTCTTTTTACTCTTTAATTTACAAGAATTAGTTATCAAAATATTTTACATTTCAGAAGAAAGAGAGAAGAGACAGATCGAAGAGTAAGGAGAAAACACCAATTCCTAAGAAAAAACCAAAGACTGTGAAAACCTTAGCATCAGAAATACCAGCACCATCTACCAGTCGTCCAAGTAGATTGAGACAGGTATAAGACAGTCCGGTGTCAATCTTTTGTGATATTTTGGGATGGTTTGGGATCTGGAAGGGACAGGTATTAGATATTCAGATTCCACTTTGATAATTCAGACTGATTTGGACTGGGACAGGTATCAGATTCGAGACTGAATCTGCTATTGTAATTATGAGCATGTTTGGGATTTGCTCAGAGTCTGGTATTAGATAGTCAGAACTGGTTCTACTATATATTTTTGGCTAGTTTGAGATTTAGACTAAGACAGGTAGTAAAAAGTTTTGAATGATTGAACTAAAATATTTTGGACTGGCTTTGGATCCTGAAACTGTACTTTACTATTTTGGACACGCACGGAAATTTGTTTGTGTAATAACTAGTAAATATTTTGTTATTGATTTGATGAATTTAATAATTTTAAATAAAAGAGGCAGAAGAACTTTTATGACCTTTGACAAGTTAGATCTTCATCATTGTACAATTTTATGCATGGCAAACAGTTTTAATCCTCACGCTGTGGCGGAAGGGGCATTAAGTTTTACCCTTGTCCGTCAGGACGTATGGATTATGCCCCAACAGTGGCAGAGGGGGCATTAATTTTACCCTTGTCCATCTGTACATCCGTCTGACCACCCCAAAATTAGTTTCATTGGTCTAACTTTAGTTTGCCAAATGTTATAAAACTTAAACATAATACTTATTACTACTAAATACTCATCAAGTTTGGATTTGGGTGGCGTCACTTTCACTGTTCTTGAGTTATGTCCCTTTGTAAATTGAAAAAAGAGCAGAATTTGCAGTAGATTTTCAAGCGGGGGCACCTGTGTCCTTCATTTATTTTGGTAAAGGAAACCATAGTGTTCAGACATGACATGGTAAATCTCAAATCTTAACTGAGTCCGAATGCAGTCTCTCATTTTGCCAAGTGACAAGCATAATTGTAATTGTTTTGATTAATTTCTAAAATGAGGTACAAACAGTATGAAGACACAATGGAAACTTAATTCTAATATTCTTTTCCCATTTGATTGGCATATAAAGTATAAATAAGTTTCTATTGCTAGTAATGAGTAATCATTTTGATTTTTACTGCAAATCAATGAATCACATGGCTCCAAGGAACACCTGTCCATTGAAGACACCAGAAACTTGCAGTATACCATGTATACAGTTAATTGTAATTTTATTTCATACTTAATTTAATGTGATGACAATTTTTATGGTCCCGCCATAGGTGACAGGGACATTAAGTGTTACCCTTTACCGTCTGTCCCTCCATCCCGTTTCTTTTTTGCAAAGCTTGAACAGGGGCATTTGTGTCCTCAGACACATTCTTCTTTTTTTAATGATGTTTTTTATTTTGTTTGTAAACTTTAAATGTACCTGGAGAACTTGGCCTCCATCATGTTGATTAGTCCCAAACAAGAATTTTGTTTTGTCTTTTGGTGTTAAGAATTGAGACAAAAAAAAATACTTCCAAAAGTCTAAAGACTGGTCTGATTTCTTCTATATACATGTTTTAACCTTTGAAAACAATTGCTTTTCCAGACACCAAAAACTGTTTTACCTGTAACAACTAATGAAGAGTCATCAACTGATGAAGATGAAATTGAAAGTACAGACGATGAAGCAAGTGAAGGTGAAAGTACATGTAAGAGTGAGTCGGAAGAACCAGAAGGATGCACGGATAGTGGTGTGGATAATAATACTCCTTTTAAAAATATTCTCAGGAACCGGATTATGGACAGGGATAATTTCAGTGAGACTTCCTCATTAGATAGTAATGATATATGGAGTGTTAAACGAACTAGATCGGGAAGAATAAGATATAATGGTGCAATGAGAATGAATAATGACCTTGCATTAGTGAATGAAAATTCTTATGACCTTGAAAGTACGTTTTCAGAAAATAGCAATGCAGGTTCTATAGATATGAATAAGTTTAAGAAAGGTACAAAAACTAGTCGTACAGATTTTAACGGGTTAAATTTGGCAAAGAATTTCAATGGTTTAAGTGAAAACGACGATAGTGATGTGTGCCATAAACCTGTTGATGAAACGGGCGATTGTTCATCATCAAACAGTGAAATGATCTCAAAAACTCAAAATTCAAATAGTGAAAATCCAAACAGTATTTGTTCTAGTACACAAAATATAAGTTCCGAGGAGTGTGATATTCAAAAACGAGAAACTAGTTGTTTTGAGGGTAGTAATCAAAATTACACGACAACAAGACCAGTGGACTTGAATGAGGATAGTAGCACTTCAAACGATTTTTCAGAAATTGACAGCCAAGATAGTGCCTTTGATGGCAATAATTCAGAGTATTCGTCTCAACATAAAAGTGATATTATGACGCTTAACCGAATATTTGATCAGAAAACGGGTGACAAAATGTTTGAAGACAGTGACACGAATTCATCATTTAATGTGAAATGTGATAGTCCATCTGATCACAGGCAAACTTCTGATTCTCCTCAACATCTGGCAGCAAAAACTTCTGCTGATCAATCAACTGTGGGCAATATCTTGCAAGAATCTGTCTCATCTGAGGCTTATATTTGTGAAAAGAATGAAAAAGCAAGGGAAACAACTCCATGTAAGGAGATTGATGAAAAGGAAGTTATTGTAAGGGAAGCAACTCCGTGTAAAGAATTAAGTGATGGTGCTGATACGGACACTGAGTTTGATGAGGAAAAGATGTTAACCGACAATAAAGAAAAGTTTGAGGATAAAAGTAAGTTATTGACATTAAAGAAAAACACATCTTGTCATGCTAGTATTGATGGTTTGAACTCTGACACAGAGCATAATTCATTTGATGAAAGGACTGTAGAGGTTAAAACTGAACCTTGTGATGTAACTGAAGTTGAAATAAAAGAGGAGAATTCAGACAAATTGGATGATGAATCAATAGACTTAAAAGTGCAAGAGGATTCTGAAGAATTAAAAACTGCGAAAACTGAGGAATGTTCAAATTTGCAAATAAAAAAAGAGAAGGATGAAAATGGTCCAGAAGGTAATCAAGGTAATGGGGTAACTGAGACAGACAACATGGTGTCCCTTGTCAAGGAGGAGGTTAAAGATGAAATGGAAGATCAGACAGGAGTGAAAAGAGAAAACAACTTAGAAGAAGAAAAGAAGGATCAAGCAGAAGTGAAAGAAGAAATGGAAGAAATAAAGGAGGAAGTTACAGAATCAGATGATGAAGAGGATGAAAGTGATTTGGTCACTGTAAGTTGAAATAGCACATATATGTCTTATGGTCACAAGATAGGTAGTTTTGTAAATTGATGGCAATTAAGTACTATTAAACTATCTCAATTAAACATGCTAAACATGCTAAATATTGTGCAGATTGGAAAACTGGCATTTTCGGAACTCTTGTATCAGAACATTTCAAGTTTCAAATAGTATCAGTCCAAATGTCAAGTAACAAATTCATTTAAAAACTTTGTACATGCTCTATATGACATAAGAAAACAATTGATACTCAATTTCAACAATTAATATCAATATATGAAATTAACTCATATATATATATCAGAAGATATGATTGGTAAACTAACAAGCAATCATGGCAGTTAGTCCAAAGTTTGTAAAGATATTAAGTGACAAGTCATCAGAAATAGAAACATTAATATAAAACACAAACAAATCAAATAACACATCTGAGCCGCCTAAAAATTAGGTTCCTAATAACTTGACCGTGATGACGCTGCCATTGCAATTGTATTTAAACTTTTGTTATAGGATGGAGAAAGATCATCATTATGTTAGCGAGATTTTCATTTTTGTTTTGATTTCCGTGTATCATTTTAGGGTCCAGAGATTGGTCCTTTAGAGTTGATAGCAGAAAGTGTTGAAGATCTACGGAATTTGGTGGAGAAATTTGCTGAACCAGAACCATATACTGTTGGCAGAGGAAAGAAAACAAGGGTATGCATTTGATAATGGTTAACTACTTAAAAAAAGACAGTTGTATTAAAATAGTGTGTTAAGCTTAAAGGTTGATTATCAATCTCATCATGATCTTAGATCTAGTCTGAGATTTCTCTCATGTCCAACAGCATTGTTAGCTCATGTGGCTGCAATCACTTAGCATCCGTGGTTACATTTTTTTAAACATCTTGTGAAAAGGCAAAACTGCTCAGAATGTCAAGATCCATCTATATCTGCTTCAATATTATCAGATGACTCCTTAAAGGAGTTATTGTCGTTTAAAGAAGATTTTTGACCAATTTCCATGTTTTTACATAATCTGTTAATAATCATCTGTGTTACTTAAAAGCATAAAATATAACTTATGAGAATGATAGAAATAAATGTTCTAATATCTTGTAAATGGTTGAGATATCCACCCCTAAACCATATATATTACTAGTGATTTTTCAGAGTTATGTCCCTTTTACCATGTTTACTAGGTGTGTCAATCTTCAGCATCTCAAATTTTTTAATTGATACAAGAAAACGTACCACATTAACATCTGAAATTACAGTATCCAATAGTTTTTTTCTTTTTGATAATAAAAGAAAAAAATAGCACATCAATTTCTTAAAAGACAGTATCCAAAAGTTTTATTTTGCATGACCATGATGACAAAATTGTTTTTGTTTGAGTGTTGTCATGGTAGTGACTAACAATTTTTGCACTTATTTAGGTTGTTAAACCTCCAGCAAGAAAAAGATGTGTAGTCCAGTTACATAACAGATTGTGCTACCTGCTGAAAGAGTTAGAACCATGGGAGCAAAAACTCATTCAAGCCACAAAGAAAGCTAGACTCAAAATGAAGAAAGAGTATGAATGTTATGATGAAAAGGTATGGACATATAAGAATTTAATATACAGATGAAATATGTCTTAAACACTGATTGGATCATATATATCTGCTCAAGCTATAGAAATGTTTTAAATGATTTAATTAATCATTTCTGAGGGGATTTTTTTTTTTATTTATTAATAAATTGTTTAATTCTAAAATTCTTGGAAGAGATCTATCATGTCTATGTCAGTTGGCAAGACTATTATTATTATCAGTTGGAATTTGAAAATTACAAAATCAATGTGAGCTGTAGGGAAATTTTAAAATGAAATAAGAAATATGAAGATGTGGTATGATTGCTAATTCCAATGAAACAACTATCCATCAGAGACCAAATGACATAGATGTTAGCATCTACTAGTATAGGCCACCATCGAGCCTTCAACAATTAGCAAAACCTGTACTGCATAGCAAGCTATAAAAGGTCTTGACATGACAAAATGTAAAATCATTCGAACAAGAAAATCCACTTCTTGATTTATGTACAAAACAAATAACCATAAACAGCAACAAATGACAAAGTCAATTACTACTAAATCTTAGGTAAACACATTGTTCAATGTAAGTTTTTCTGGTCAGGGAAACTTTTGAGGTACTTCAAAGGGGTTTGTACTATCTCACACCAGCAGTTCAGGGCTGTTGGAAGGTTTTCTAAAGAGGGGTGTGAAGGGGGTGGGTGTTTAGATTATTTTTTAAAATGAGTAAGCCAATTTCAGGGTTATATGCGTTTAAGAACATCAAATACATGAATATCCATACTCTTCCAACATGCTTTTAAACGGTTATTTGGCTGATATTTACTTGAGGAAAACGTATAAACCATAGATTGACTGAAGGTACTACTTATTTCAACATATTATTGGCTTAAATCAATATAACAGTGGTAACGTTCGAAGTCAACTTTACAATTTCATTCATATGATAACGACAGAGACCATGCACACATCACCTTTGTTCCGCAATTATTCCGGATAAAATATAGCAATACATTCTTATATACACATAGACCTACTTGTATTTAATCCTGCTCTATTTGGAGATTTTAAAGATGACATGGCTTCATATGTCTTTCCAGTTTACTTTTATTATAAACAAATCATGTGTTCATAATAAAAGTAAACTGAAAAGACAAATTTTATGAATGAACTATGTGTATCTTATCATAATATAATGGATAATAAGAAACAAGCAGTTAAATTAGCACTCGATTTCTTTTTGTATTGCATGTAGTGAGTAGGTTGGTGATGTCTTCATGTCATTTACCCATGTCCATTCTTTTTCATACGTTATGATAACATTACTAATTGTAAGTTCCGATCAAAAACAGATGACAGTGCGAGAAAAAGTTGTTGAACATTTCCAAATGAAAAAAAAACCAACAAACAATTCCAAGGAGCCAGAAAAATGTAATTTGCTGATTCTATAAATAATAACAAAGATGATCTCTCAAACTGTATCATAGGTGTACTATTCTGTAGCAGCATGATCACAGTAACCTGTGGAAGTGCTGATCCGTGCCTGAAAATTATTATTATATTTTTTTTTATGCCCCCGCCGTAGCGGTTGGGGCATTAAGTTTTACTCTTGTTTATTTTTTTTTGAAAAAGGGGTTGCGATCACACCCTTCACACCCTCCCTTCCGACGGCCTTGCAGTTATATGTTGTTTTGTTTTATTAGAATACTATTATGATTTTATTGTAAAGCAGGTGAAACATACTTATTTTTTTTACATTTTTAACAACTCAAATTGCTGGTTAGGGCTATTCCATTAAAATGTATGTGGGAGGGTAGGAAGGGTCTTTCAAAATATCCCTACAACCAAGAACCATTTTTTAGATAATTTTGCATAATGGTAATAGACACATACTGAAAAAAGACCCATGATCCACATTCAATAATTAAACTTCCCTTCCTACCCTCCCACATGCATTTTAATGGAATGGCCCTATTGTGACATAATTATATAAATACATGTTTCTTTTTCTTATAAAGGATGATGATGGTTGGGAGTCTGATCACTCAGAATCAACAAACTCAGCTACCGAAGATACAGGCATGGATGTAGATTCAGCACAAAAGCCTCGACAACCAAGTATTCCTAAAGATTTCTTGATGTCACAGAATGATGATAGTAGAACATCGGGTATGTTGAAACTGCAGTTGTCTCCCTTTTATAAAGTGTCACATTTAGATATTTGCAGTTGTCTACCTTTGGAAAGTGTCCCATTTATAATGAAGTTCACAATACACCTTATTGGTATTTATTCCACTGCAGATAACATGGATAAGTTCTGAAATTTCTCACACTTTCATGGCGTCACAAACCAGTTGAAGCTATCTGGTGCCCTGTTTAAACAATAAATTATGGATAGAAATTTGAAAAGAGGCATGTTTAAACCATAGTCAACCAAAGCATTTTAATGACTTTAATCTGTGTTTAAAAATTTGGATCATAAACTTATCAAAATCTTAAAATGTTCACCTTCTAAACTTTTTCCTCCCTCAGCTCATGATTACTGGTGACCTTTGTTTTTGCAACTCTTGACCAGAACAGGAAGTTACATTTTCCCCCAGATTGGACTAAATAGCACAAAGGTGTATGCCATCTAGTCTTGTTATTCACATTTTCTTTATAGCAGCAAAGACTTCTCATGAATATGATTTCTAGATGCTCACCATGTTTTAAATTCAACTTTTTAATTTTATAAAACAGTTTTTTTATCAATGGACTTTGCCAAAGGTGAAATATGTTTGTCACTATATTGTAAATGACATCTTTTTTTAAATTACAACCATTTATAAAAATTAAACTGCACTGCTAATTGCATATATATAGATTCATGGAAATATAATCGACAAAAGAAAAACAAAGTCGCATATTAAAAAGTTTTGCCTACCTTAATAGTAGTGATGCATTGATAGTTTAGAGTTCAATTTTATTTGACCTTTGACTTTATTTTTAACAGAAGACTGTGGAGAATGGGATATCAGTTTAAGAGGTAGGATTAGAAAGAGACGAATTATACCGAACAATGTTGAAGATCAAGGCTTGTCTAAGAAGCGCAAAACTGAAACCACACCTACTACAACATCAGCACAAGTGCCAAACAAGTCGGATCAGAGTTCACCAAACATGGTTTCCTTGGTGACAAGCAGTGCTAGTCATTTACTGCTGCACACATCAGGAGGTCAGACTTACTACACTGGGTTAAATCAGCAGTCACTTAGCAGTCTCAGAATGTTATCACACACTAAGCAAACGGCCCATCCCATAATACAGCAATTACTACGACAACCAGGGATGGACTCTCCAAGACCTTTAGCCAGTTCTTCTGTTGAAGATACCTCTCAAAGTAAGGATCTAAGTTCAATTTGTCATACATTATAAATATATATTCTTAGTTTACAGTACATGTATGTCAATATACTTGATAAATTGATTAAGTTGTTTCTTAACAAAACATAGAAATGAATAGAAAAAAGAAGCCCTAGAATTCTTATATTTGAAAAAGATATATTGGATATAAGTAAATTTAAAATAAGATAAATGAATTTAAAATAAGATAAACGAATTTAAAGTAGATGAGGTATCCATAAGGTATCTAGTTTTGAAATTGTGTTTGACTCTTATCTTACAGTTAAAAGGCTTGTATAGTCCGCGGTTTTATTCTCCAAAATTGACCCTGACAGCAGGAGTGTGGACTATAGAGTACAATAAGCAAGAAATAAGAGAGAAAATTACAATTTCGCGATGTGGTTTGTTTATGTTCCGCCATGTTTGTTATTGACATTGTAGAGGGCGCTCTTATCATTTTTCAAACCAATAATTTTACCCAATCCATATTAATAAGTTATTTTTATTCAATATCAAATTAATACTGAAAAATTTAAAAATGAAATGCTTCATTACAAAATTCTCTTTTCTTTTCAATGCATTGCTAAATATAAATTGTATCTGCTTGAATGAAATCGTACAAAAGAAGTAAAAAACGACAACTGTAAACTACAAAACGTAACCGGTTATTATTTGTTCTGTTTTGGTGTTTCCTATTGACAAATATGTTTTGTATTATCTTAAGACCCTTCAAACATTAATGTGATAGATATATTAAACACTGTTTTACATAAGGAGGGAACTGTTTTACTTTCAAAGTCGTATTATAGTGATATCTATTATGTACGGATTTCGACTCTCACCAGGTTTTTTCATCTTTTACACGTGCTTTTCAAACTTCCGGTTTAAACATACACAAGTTTCTAAATTGTTTTTTGTGTGATTTAGACTTATTTTAACCAGCGTGAAGTGTTTTAGAACCATTTACAAGCAGTTTCAGCTTCTGTTTGGTGATGGAAAATAGGTTTTTCCAAGAAAATACTGCAAACGACCGCACACGGTTTCATTAGACCTTTTCTAACAGTTACAAAAAGTTTTTTTACCTGAAATTTCGTGGGGAGAAGGGGGTGCGGACTATGTACCAGTGCGAACTATACAAGCCCGATTACAGTAATTGACAAGAATTGCCAGTTTTCCTGTCAACGGTCTGATGTTGTCTCCGGGTACTTGGGCTTTCTCCATCAATAATAACTGGTCTCTTTGATAAAGCCAGAGTTCTAAAAATGGTCTTTAAAAATTGAAAAAAAAACAAACCAAAAAGGGTAAATAATTCCAGGTCAGTTCTTCAAGCTCCCTGGAGACTGTAGTTGGATCTCTCTTTCATCCCCTATATAAAGTCTATGAGATAATTCAATTTTCATTTTTGCATGATGATTTCATTTACATATTTGGATTGAAGTTAAATTTAAGTGAATATTTATCTCACCTATACACATCATACATGTATTATCAGTTGAGTACAAAAACAAGTGGCGCCAAAAAGTTTGAGGAAGTTATTTTTCCCTTTGCATGTGATTTACATATGACATTATTACTACACTACTTATTCACACATCAATCTGTTAAACTCAGTTATGCAGGACACTGGTTACAGGTATTGCAATGTTAAATTTTAATGTTATCAGTTGAAACAAAAAGTGTAACTTATTTTATTCATTTCTTTTTTTCAGACAAATCCGTAGCATCAAAGAACATAAAAAAGGCAACTACACCTCAGAAATTGCCTGTGTCAACACCAAAAGTAGCACAGCCTCCTGGAAAAGTTCAATACTTTGCTGCTAACATTAACAGTTTACCTCCAGCTGTCATTCAGCAGTTGATAAAGTCAAATGCTTTGTCTATACAGGCAGGAAATAGTCAGCAGGGGATGATTTTGTTAACAGCTGTCAATCCAGCAGAGCCTGGATGTGCCCCCGGAGCTAAGGCAACACTTACTTTACAAAATCCAGTGACAGCTAAAACTACCAGTCCGTCTCAACAAACAACATCTTTATCACAGACTGTTGCAACAATAGATGGAACCTCAGCAAATATTGACAAGGTGGCAGCGGTTGTCACAGAAAGTCAAGTTGAGACAAACAAGTTAATGAAAAATGTTTTAACTACTGAACATTCTCAACAGAAGCCAACCATACCTGTGGCAAATGCACAGATGTCTTTGGCCCCAGGGAAAAATGTGCAACAGAATAAATTTGCTAATTTTGCAAAAACTATACATGCCACGCCTGCTACACCACAATCAGTTGTGTCAACTGTTCAGACTGTCCAGTCTACAACATTCACTCAACAAAAGCATGTAGCACCAACTGTTCCCATATCAGTGCCAAGGACATCCCAACCTAAAATGATTATTCAGCAGAGTCCTACAGTACTACCTGTGGCAAATCAAGGTCTGAGATTGCAGAATTTTGGTGGTGTCAATGTGATCAATCCTGGGGGATATGTTCTGAATACTGGACAGAATCAAGGTGTGGCACTCAATTTGAACCCTACTCTGAATATCGGCAGTCAAGGAACCGTGAACCTTAATACAGGTCAAAGTGCAATGAATATTGGTGGTCAGGGTTTAACCCTTCAGCAGATTCAGGCATTGGCTTTACAAGGTATTAATTTGCAGGGAATATCTCTACAAGGTTCAAATATAATTGTACAGCCAAATGCTGGTTTGAGAATCCAGACACCTGTGAGTGTTCATGGACAGCAAGTCGTAGTATCAACAATTGCAGGAACAGTTCAGAATGCGGGGACTTTGACAAACTCCAATTTAGTTTCAGTTCCGGTGCAAGGGACAGTTTTGTCTCATAAAATAAATAGCAGTCCAACCGATGCTGGCTTAAATTTATTAAATCCAGTATCTTGTTCAATTGGAGAAATTTGTCCACCTATAAGTCCAGTAATTGGATCAGGGCAGGCAAGTAAGGACTTGAATACCATAAATTATCCAGGAAGTGTTTTGACTGATTTTCCAAATTCTCCAATGTTTGGGCTACAGATTTCACCTGGGAGAACACAATGCAAGTATGCAAGCAATGTGACAGTGAAAACATTACTAGAAGCTAGAAAACCGTCTTTTACTGAAACATCCCCAGAGAACCATGGAACTATTGTTGTACAATCAACCGCAACTGGAATAAAGAAATTGAAACTGCCAAGCAAAGCTGCTTTAGATTCTGCCATACAAACTGTTGTGACTGAGGTAAAAACATCTTTACCTACCGCTAACATTAAAGTGCCGTCCCCGGTGACAATGCCATCAATTCAGCCTAGACGTAACATTACTAAAACTATACAAAGTATGAAAGTTCCTATTCCAACTACACCAAAAGTAGAAACTAAATCAAATGTACCCATAAATATACAGGTGTCGCCACCAAACTATGTACAGCCTATGTCTCCTGCTATTGGACAGTCAAATATTACTCTTGGTACACCAGTGCAGTCGGGGCAGCCTAACCTTGCCTTGGCTAGTCCAATACAATCTGGGATTTTGAACATGAATCAGGTGAACAATGCAGGTCAAATAATGTTGACAAATTTTAAATCAAATACGAATATTCCCACCGGACAGAATGTTGTTCAAGGTTATTTGACCCCGCAAGGTCTTATAATACCATCAGCAAATCTGAAAAACTTTCAAAATATGCAGAAAACTGTCAGTTCTAATGTTATTGGAAATTCATTAACAAGTGTTGAACCTGCATCTCCTTTATTAGTAAATTCTTCTCAGATTGGGGCATCATCATTAGCAAGTTTGCAGTCAAATTCTCTGATCTTTGGTGCATCTAGTATAACTGATAAGAATGAGTTAAAACATTTACAAAATGTGCAAGACTTGCGGAATATTGCAGCCATTAATTCAAATATTATTCCTCAGATTGGATCTCAGCAGTTTGTACAAAAGCCTATGGGATTATCTGTCGCAGGCAATCAACTTCAGTCTGGAAACTTTGTTTATCTTTCTCCGTCAGCAAATGTGCAACAAGGATCTCAAATTCTATTAAACACAAATCAACCATTGACATCATTTAGTACATCAGTTAAGCCACAGATTTCAGCTACTGGTTCTTTGAATACACAGCCGGGAACAATTGGTGCAGCTCAAATTCAGCGTAGTGCAAGTTACGAATCAAATGCTGAAAATTGCGATCTAAGGCCTGTTATTTCATTGCCACTTGGAGCTCAGAAGAAAGACACAACAAAGAGCACAATCATGTCATTGCCTCTTGCTTCAGTTAAGGCTGACTGTGTCACTAGTTCAGTTAGTTCTCTACCATTAGCTTCTGTGAGAGCTGAAGATGCAAGTCACAACCTGACAAAAAGTCAAGTTCCCATGCTAAATACGTTTGGGAGTAATGCAACTTTATTGAGTCACTTGAATAGTCCTATATTAAAAACTAATGTTAACCATTTTGCAACTTCTAAAAGTGATGGAATGAGACCACCAAGTGCTGTGTCCTCATCTGTTGGTCAAAATAATTTGTCAGATGGAAAAACCAATATTCAGCAGTCATATGTCAAAGAGATGACTCTTGGTCAAAAATCTGTTCTGTTAAGCCCACAAACCAGACAGGTACCAATATTATTAAATCAACAGGGATCCAGTTCGGAAATTATGAAACAACTGGCAGCTGCTCAAGTGTTAGGAACACCAGTTAAACAGATATCGAAATTACAAAATTCCAATGTAGCTTTAGCCAATGGTAATAAACTTGTCATCCAAGTTCCTGGACAGTCAAATGTTTCAACACCACAGTATGAAAATAAGAGGATGTTGCAAATACAAGGACAGATGCAGAATAATACAAGCACAGGGAGTGCTGGTAAATTGGTCATACCTGTATCAAGACCTACAGTTTCTACCCCTGCTCCAACTAATATTACAAGTACCATGTCTGGACTGAAAACAATTACTTCACTGCCAAATAAGGTAATGATACAGGTACCCGGACAGCCCCAGTCGGGTGGTCCAATGCTTCTCATATCGCCACAGAAACAATTCATACTTGGTTCTCAGACCGTGCAAAAATCTACAGCGAATAATGTGTCGCAGACACTGTCATTACCTTCTACGTCTGGTCAGGTGACGAATATTCAAAAACCTGTAGCGCAACCAAAGGACCAAGTGTATCTTCGTGCATCTGCACCAAATCTTGGTAAAAGTGTGGACTTTCCTGTATTAAAAGGACAAAATGTGGAAAATATTTTCAAGTTTCCCAATACATCTGTAAATAACTCTAATATTCAACAAACATCTGTGCAAGGTGTTGCTAATAATGCCATGAATTCTCATGTGGTGCCAAAAGGTGGTACTGGTTTGCAAGTAGGAAATAGAACGACAATAACTACAAATTCAGAAATCCCATATTCAAATTTAAAACCAAGTTTACAAACAACTGTAACTCAGTCTCCAGCAAAATCACCAACAACTCCACAGAAATTGTTTTTGTACAATATAAATGGACAGTTGGTGACAGCTCAAGGTGTACCTGTTACTGTAGACAATGGTATACTGAAAATATTACCGCAACCTAAAATCCAAATGTCAAATTTCAACTTGCCGAAAAGTCCACCTGCTGCCTCAAAACCTCATGGCAATGTACCGATTTCACCAAAACCAGGACAGCCAATTGTCAATACACAGCAGGCTTATTTGAATGTTCTCTCAAGTACAAATAGTGCTCTGTCATCAGCATCATTACCACAGTATTCTAAAAGTCAGACTTTACCAGGTCTAGGTCAAAATGTGTCAGATTCACTTCCCACCAATCAGTTCTTGGCAGGAATAGGAACGCAGCAGCCGAAATCTGTTGTCAGGAATTTGAATTCAAATTTAACCTTTGTGACATCAAATTGCACTGCTAGTAGTAATATGAAACATAATATGGCTGTTTCAAATTCTACAGCCGGACAAAACATGAATGTTAGCGGAATGTTACCACATGATTCCATCAATACAAAACCGTCTCATCGATTTGTTGTTATGCCAGAAACTGGTGGACAGACACAAATTGTATTTCCTCAACCAAACATTCATTCCAGTAAGGCTTTAGTAAACACTGTACATAGTGCATCCTCGTCCATTATGTCATTGTCATCTGCCAACTCGCCAATCGTAGCAGTCCAGACTGCATCACCATCCGTCAATTCACAGATCATCAAAAAGTCATTTGTACAAAGTTCACCGGTCATTTCCAGTCAGACTTCGAAAGTAATTAATGCAGCACAAAAATTTGTTAACTCCGTCAATATGAATCATCATAATAATATAAACGGTCAAAATGTTGTCACGACTAATCCCGCTACAGTTAAAAACACGACCAAATCCAACAGTAGCAGCACTGTGGATGCAGAAGAGGCGGCACTCAACTTGTTATCATTAGCCAATCAGAGATTCTCATCTTAGTATGCCTAAAATATTCAGTGTATTATAACATGGTAGCAATAGTGGTGATTTATTTTTGTTTCTTTGTGTTTGGACGGTACTGTAAATTCAGAAATAGTTGTGTGCATTTATTAATGAAATATTTGATCATCCATTATAAAGTTTGCTAGATTAACTATGGGAATTCAGGAATCGCTGCATACAAATAGTGCTATCATGAATGTGCTACTCATATTAATTCTTTTCCATATTAGCAAATACATCATACAATTTCTGAGTTTACAGAACTTTTTTGGATTCCAATTTTCATGACTCGTAGGAAAATTTTCAGTTCTTTCTTTCCAATTTCATGGTTATTAGACTTCAAAAACTATAGATTTGCAAATTAATGTATGATTGATGCAAATGATCAAAATTTTATGACCTATGAAGTTGATTAATGATACTTGTGTATAACTATATATTTTTTTAAGTTATATATGATGAAATAGACTGTGCATATAATTATTTTCTTTTTTTCTAATTTATTATTAAATTTTCATGTCAGGTGTTAAAAAAGGTAAAAACTTCATGAAGACAATGTTTTTTATGGTGAAAATAGCAACCATGATAACATAAACATTCCAAATAAATATAGGAAATTTATTAAGATTGGAACACAAAATTATCACTTTTACAAATTCCTCGTCTTACATGTCTAAAGTTTAAGTTAGATTCATTGGTAACGACAATCATAGGAAATTGTTTGATACATTAGTTGTTACCAGTATCACGATCTGTACTTTATCCATATTTTCTTGTAAATTGCAATTTATTTTCTGCAACTGGTCAACTGACCAAGCAATATTAATTTCAACACCATTTCATTTTTAATAGGTTTTTATTAAATAGAAATTGACCAACTGCAGGAAGTTATGGACTAGGTAGAAATGTTTGCAAAGGGAGATAATATCATGTAAAGTATCATTTAAATGTATATGACTGCTTTCTTGGAAAACCACAACATTTTCTCAGTTTATGAAAATTGGTGTCCATGAAATTTGTTAATCCACAGTATTTCAGTGTAAAATTCTTGAATGGGCATTATTATTAGTTCTAGTTCTTATCAATGTCATTTGTAAATACATTGTAAACTGAAAAGGCTATTTTGATATAAATCTATTCCAAGTTTCAGAATCCAAAGGATGATGGGTAATTTCACTGTTTGTACACCAAAATGAAAATGCTGTCACATCATTGGTTAAATATCAATTGTTTTGGATATTATTAGCCAATGATAACACTTTTTGAGTAGCTTTTTACACTATCACCCATCATGTGGGTAATTTCATTGTTAGTACATCAAAATGAAAATGCTGTAATTTCACTGTTTGTACACCAAAATGAAAATGCTGTCACACCATTGGTTGAATATCAATTATTAAGGATATTATTAGCCAATGATAACATTTTTTGAGTAGCTTTTTACAAAATTACCCAAAATCCTTTAGATACAGAAATTGGGAATTTGTTATGTTACTGAATCATCGGAAGGCATTTTTGTCAATTTTCTGAGTTTTCCATTGCGTTAAATTCAGTACTATTCTGACACTTCCCTTTGAGTTTATTATGATCTGTGCCATGTATTTTCAAAATGTTCAGTATAGTTGTTGTTTTATGTTTTTTGAAAATCGAAGACTAATTTTAAAATGCATAACACATGACTTAACAGATCTGGGTTGACTGCAAGTGTAATGTCTTAACAGTACTGATTTTTATGCAAAAAAAAAAATCTGAAAGAGATCTTAAATGTTAATTAGACCTTCCATTCTTATGTTCAGACATTTCCGATCACTTTAGGTCAAGATTGCCAGTTCAGTCCTAACACATGGATGTCCTGGAAGGTATGCACATTTATCATATATATGAGTAGGAGTATGTTTTTTTCTGTTGCAGAATGAGATATTCAATTTTTGTATAAAGTTATGAAATTCACATTATACTATTTAGTGCTTTCAAAGTGTTTGTTTGCTTACTATTTGTTTGATGCAAATTGTTTATTTTATTTTTTGTTGAATCTATCGATATTTAATATTTTTAAGTAAACGAAAACCTTTTTTTTTTCAAAGTTTAAACTGGTGATTCTTATGATACTGGAAATAAGTAAAATGATGTGTCCATTCATTAATGCAAATCATGAAAAGTTTAATAAAGTTAAAAACCGATTTGATTACTATGCTCGGATAACATTAAATGTATGAATGTTAGGATCAAAATGCTAGTTTTAAATGGTGTCATCTGAACCTCATTACACTTTTCTCATTGATCAAAACAACATTTTAATTTCTGAATATTCAGTATGTATATATATATACATAACCACAGCTTGTAAAAGAGTGGTCAATTAGACTTATGGTTTGACAAAAAAAATGGTTGGAATTGATTTTGAATTATGGGTTGAATCAAGTAAGATTTTATTCTTGATGGACTGTTTTGTTCTGGTTTGATGTTGAAATTCAATATTTGTACAGGTGTAGAGAAAAAAAGAATCCTTTTCTTTTTGCATCAAGTTTTAACTTCACAAATATAAGTAACTAATTTAATTGGAATATGAAATTTGTATATATTTCAAAGTTTTTGCATTATGACGGGTAATATAGAAAATTGATATTTCTGTATTTTTTTCGTTTGTAGTAATTTAATAGAACATTCTTTCAACTTGTGATTTTAATGTACTCTCTGAAGACTTCTTGTTTGGTATAAGAAACATAAAAAGAAAAATATCATTGAATGAATTAGGTTTTATTAAAATGATCATTTAAACAGTTTTTGAATGATAAAAGATGAAATAGCAAACATGCGATATTCATTTTTTTTCATGAGAAAAAGTGTGCATGAATGGGTTATTTTCGCAGAGATATAAATTTAGCAATTTATGATTTAAAACTTCTTTACATACTTCTGTTTTCACATTTTTTCTTGTTTCTGACTCTCATCTTTCTTAAATATCAAATTTATGTTATATCTTGTCTGCAAAATTAATGAAAATATCTCACTTTGCAGTAATTGGGTTTTCCCCTGTATTATATTTGATTTCTTCTGTGTGGTAGAATTAATGTAATGAAAGTGCTTACAATTGTGTGCCAGTGCCAATGAAATGAATGATATTTGAACAGGCTATGTTCATTCAGTTTTTGCAAAGTTATATGTATGTACATGATGTAACAGCCTTTTTCTATAATTCTGTAAATAAGTTATTTGCCATGGACTTATTTTAGTTTCTTGTCATTACAAAGAATTTGAAAAGTTCATTGGAAACCTGGATTGATAGTTGTATATGAAATTTGTTGCCTGTAAAATTAATTTCTTTGCAGTATTCAGTGTTATTATTTTTTCTTCAAAACTGACCATTACCAAAACAATATGATACTTTTGGAGTATTATAAATGCTGTAAGAATACATATTTTTCCACAAAGTCTCCTTAGCAATATGATAGTTGCTGATAAAAATTTCTCACTGTTACCATTTTTTTTTCAATCATCCAGACCAGTGTAGACAATTCACTGTTTCAGAATCTGATGCATTCCGGGAAATATTTTCAAAAATGTACACCAAAGCATTGTGATAGGTTAAAAATGTCCTAAACAATTGAAATTCCACCAATGACGTGATGTTATTGTCATTTTGAGGTACGAACAATAAAATTTACCCATAGTCCTTAAGATTCTGAAATGGTCAATTCAGAATGCCTGTTTGATGTAATTCATAATGGATTACCTATTGAGGTCATGTAGATGATCTTTACTTGTTCATAAGTGTTTGGTTTAATTTGAAGATAATGATAATCTGTAGGTAAAGTTGTTATATTTTTAATATTTTATCACTACTGTAGAAAAATTTTTGGTGTTTTATGCAGTGATCGATCTGGTAAAATGTTTTACTTTTTGATATTCTAAGATTTTTGTTAAAATAAGTATCAATTCACACAACAAGAAAATGGTTTGTACTTGAAATTGGGAATGTCAATGAATCTAAAATGTTTGGTTTTCAAGAAAACTTTCTATTGCTAAGAATTATTTTTTATGTCGTTCCAAAGTTATGGTAGTGCTTTTATGAATAATACACTATTTTTCTCATGTTGAATTATGATCTTGAGTCTTGATAAAGTGTTAAAGAATTTTATTGCAAAAAATTTTAACTGTTGAAATCTAACACAAATAGATTAATTCAGCTAAATTTACTTAACATTTTCTTTATTTTAAGTATGCAGTCTAATCAAAATTGTGGTATGATAATTATAAGTTTTAAAAAAAATTCAAATCATTGAGTTATTAATTTTATTTTTGAAAATTTAATGTTACTAAAAAAACAAGAGACATTAAGTAGTCAACATACAGTCTTCAGCAAAAGACATGATTCTATCCAATATATCAGTCTTGGAAGGTCTTGATTAAATTGAACGCAGACTAATGCTTATATTCACTATTCTTTAAAAGTATAATTTTGGCAGTAATTTTGCACAAAAAAAGTATGATAAATAGAAAGAATACTTTATTGGAGCTTGGACAGTAAAGTTGTAACAGGCAATCTGAAGAATAAAGTTGTTTAAAAAAAAAAGTAAATAGAAAGTGCCAAAAATGTGTCGCATATTGTTGACTGGAAATCATTGTTCATTTTAATCTCACTTTAAAAATAGTTGAAATGAACCTGCTGAAACCAACCATACATCATAACATTAAAAATATGTCAAATGGTCATACTAAAAACACCAATCTTAAGTTATGAACATTATGTTATTGTTTCAAATTGCTTTTACTGTATTGATAGTTTGTTTAAGTTTTGTATAAATGATGTGGAAACATTATAAGGAATAATGTTTTTTGAAGTTTCTAATTGTTTTACATGTAAATACTGAATGCTGAGTTAAGTTAAAAATGAATGATTGTACAAAGTATGTTATTTAAAACTGAAATTGAAATAGAATCTTATCATCATCTTTTGTGTGTTTTTTCTGCTCTGTCCCTTGAACATGTTATATGAGCACCTGAGTAACCCTGATTTATTTTTGCGTTTGTGTTGTTTAATATTTAGTTTTCTGTGTAGGATATTTATCCCCAGCTTACAATAAAAAGCCCATTATGAATCCTGGTCTGTGTATCTGTCTGTCCATCCTGTCTAATTTGAGTATTAGTTTCTGGTAGTTAAACAAAAATTTATGGTCACTGGAAATTTAGTCAACTTGTTCACTATAATTTAAATTTTTGTCTCGCCTACAATGAAAGTTGGGATGGAGAGACATAGGTGTTGATTTTCAAGCGACGGTGTCAACAATTGTTAAGTTTTCAGCTGAAGTCAGTTTGATAGGAACTACTTGTGATAGATCAATGATATTTGCTAAACAGTTGCATTACTGTCAGTACTTCTCAGTTTGTTAACAATTTTGAGGCCTTGACTCCTAGGTCATGGTGTGAGAACTTTCAGTTAAATAGCAATTTTCTACGTTTAGTTTTCTGCTTCGGTCAGTTTGAAAGGAACTACTTTTGATAGATCAATGATATTTTCCTATAAAGTTGCATTACTATTAGTACATCTCAGTTTGTTGACCATTTCAAAGCCATGCCCCTAGGTCATGATTCGGTGACTGAATTATTTAGCAATGTTGCTGTCCATTAGATTGTCTTTTTTTGAATTTTCTGCGGACAGACCAGACATATCTCTGTGTCATCAGTTTATTTAGAATACATGCAAAATAAGATTATGACCTAAATTGAGTGGTTTTCTGAAAATGGAAATGTGATGGTGCAAGCAGGGCAAGTAGTAGTGACCTATGAACACATAATCTGGTTTTAAATATTTATCTCATGATTTGGCCTGATGTTTGTTGTCTTTCCTCCCACTTACTGATTTTATTGTTACCAAAATTGTTTGTCTTGACTGCAACAAAAGTCACAGAATGCAAGACATTGGGATTTTAATCTGAGGAGGCTGCATAGACTATTTGTATAAAGCTTTATATTTCAGAAGGTAAACGACCTGGATACTTCATGCCTTATGTTATGAAGTTTCTGTCTGTTATATGTTCATTATCCTCAACCTCGTTTTCATGGTTCAGCAAGTGCTTGAAAAAACAGATATTTTTAATTTATATTTTTTTTATTATAATAGGATAACTAATTTTGGTATATTGGATCCTTTAAATGTCTACATGTTTATTAGACAGGCCTCACCTGACCTTGACCTCATTTTATGGACCAGTGATTAAGGTTAAAAATTTGTGGTCAAGTCTGAATTTCATATACTATAAGCAATAGGTCAACCATATTGGTGCAAGTAATGATTGTAAGGTGAACATATAAAAATAAGAAGATGTGGTATAATTGCCAATGAGAGAGCAAATGACATAGAAATTAACAACTATAGGTCACCGTACAGCCTTCAACAATGTGCAAAAACCATACCGTATAGTTAGCTATAAAAGGTCTCGAAATGTGAATATGTACAACAATTAAAACGAGAAAACCAACAACCTGATTTATGTTCAAAACAATGAACGAAAAAAAACCAAATATAATATACAGCAGCATAAGACAACCACTGAATTACAGGCTCCTGACTTTAGACAGGCACATACAGAATGTGGTAGGTTAAACATGTTCGTGGGCGCCCTAACCTTGGACAGTGGTGTAACAGCACAACATATGAACAAACTATAAAAATTAGTTTAAAAGGGATTAACTTGTCAGATCGATACAAAGCAGAAAAGAAAAACAAGTAACAAAAACACATAACAAACTTGACAGAGTATTAATTTTATACATCCCCACAACAAAAAAGACACTAAGTACATATCTGAGAGTACTAGCATTTACTGACAGCAAGTTCAACGCCAATAACAATTAATTAAAAAAATCATGTATCTTAGGCTAAAATACCAATGAGTTCACACCCAAAATCCAATGGATTGAGTGTTAAGACGTCATTAACTGTCAGAGAAAACATGACCTTGCGCAATGAAAAATTACAGGTATCGACAGATTGTAGAACTGTGAATGTGCATATGTATATAACAATAATATTTAGTTTGGTTTTAATTTACTGATCAATATTTATACCAATAAAAACAATATTCAAAGAACTTTACCCGGATCGTTTCTAAATTTCCGGGGTCGAGTCAGTAAACAACTTCTCCATAAACATTAGGATGTTCTATCCTTTTTGAAATAAGTCGTTTAAATGTACATCCAAAATTCCATTCCAAACCAAATCTTTATATCTATGGAAGAATTTAGTTAAGGTTTTAAGTATTTTGTGGAATCGAAATCCCTGATGTTGATATGCAAAATCTGAATTTTTCCTGGAATGTAAAATGTAAAATTCTAATATAAATAAATTATCGTCCTCGTGTTAGGGCATTTGTTTTTGTCTCGCCTTGACGGAGTCAAAAAGCGAGACTGGTATGCTGTTTCCGGCGGCGGCGGTGTCAACAATGTATTAGTTTGTGATTAGGTCTAGTTTATGGTGAACCACTAGTGGTAGGTCAATGCTATTTGGTATGCAATTGTATTACTAGCATTGGCTTATCTCCTTACCATGGAGATTATTTGGCACTGTCCCCTCAGTCATGGTCTATTGACCTTGAAACTCTGCTTAGTTTACATGTATTAGTTTGTGATTAGGTCAGTTTATCGGACCCACTAGTGTTAGGTCAATGATGTTTGGTATGCAGTTGTATAAGCATTGGCATATCTCATTTCCATGGAGATTATTTGGTCTCGCCCCCTCAGTCATGGTCTATTGACTTTGAAACTTTTTCTTAGTTTTCATGTATTCGTTTGTGATTAGGTCAGTTTAATGGGAACCGTTAGTGGTAGGTAAATGATAATTGGTATGCAGTTGTATAAGCATTAGCACATCTCATTTCCTTGGAGAATATTTGGTCCTTACCCCCTCAGTCGTGGTCTATTGACTTTGAAACTTTTGCTTAGTGTACATGTATTAGTTTGTGATAAAGTCAGTTAAAGATGAACCTCTAATGTTAAGTCAATGATATTTGATATGCAAATGTATTAGAATTTGCAAGTTACATTTCAATAGAGATTATATAACCCCACTCCCTCATTATGGTTCATTGACTTTGAAACTTTTACATAGTTTACAAGTTAATGTTTGTGTTTAGCTTTGTTTAAAGGGAACTACTTATGAAAAGTCAATGGTATTTGGTATGCAGTTGTATTAGCATTGGCACATCTCATTTCCATGGACTGTAACTTCAGTCATGGTTCATTGACTTTGAATATTTGCATAACTTACATGTTAAAGTATTGCTATTTTAATTTCAACATTTGCATTATCAAAATAACAAATAGGCGAGACATATCTCTGTGTTAACAGTTTATTTATTTTCGATCCTCTTCAAATTTCAGTTAGGTGTTCCCTTAATAAATTATATGATGAGGTCAATAAACAGATAAATATGCAGATGTTTATAATATATGTCACACTCTCAATTTTCCTAAATCGAGAACAATAGTGAATACATTTAAGAATATAATTGAAAATGGAAACGGAGAATGTGCCAAAGAAAAATCAATCCTACCAAATAGCCAATGCAGCGTGAAAATCCCGCACACGAAGGCGGGCTTCATCTGGCCCCTAAATAATACTATTTACTAGTTCAGCGAAATGGACACCACACTAAACTCCGAAACATATAAATGAACCAAAATTTAAAAAAACACACACGACTAACAAAGGCCAGAGGTTCCTGACTTGGACAGGCGCAAAAATGCGGCGGGGTTAACATGTAGTGTGATATCTTAACCTTCTCATAATGCCTCTCACCAATGTGGAATAAACAAACACACAACAATACGCACAGTAAAACTCAGTTTATAAGAAGTCCGAGTCCGATATTAGAATAGGTAACAGAAGAAACTAAGCAAAATTATAATGATCATACATTAACAAAGGACTTCTAGCAGTTACTGACATGCCAGCTCCAGACCTCAATTAAACTGATCGAAAAATAATGTCTTCATCATATGAAAATCAAGCACAGCCATTTGAAGATCTTCCATTTATACCATACTTAACTCTACTAAATAACGAAAACGTATTAAGTTAGATTAAAAGACAACCACTGACGAAGTTTCTGACTACCTTATACTCATGTATCAGGTATGCTGGAGACCGTACTGTTTTGCAGGCAAATGTATAGGCCAGAAAAACAAGTGAGCATAAAATCCAGATTGGCATAAATAGTACCATCTTTGAAGATACATTAACTGTTATTTAAATAACGACATAGAAGGGATATGGTGCGGTTGGCCGCATGGGCATGGAAAAAAAACTCCATACACTTCAGACCTAAAGCAAGGAAACAGAACTTTTTTTGTCTTTATCTCAAAGTCACATTGGGGTATTCAAGTTATGCGTAAAATTTGACACCTTACTACAGCTTCAAAACAACCCCATACCCTCGCACCTTCTAGATATACAATGCAGGGAATTTGATGCTATCAAAATTCAATCTAACTGGTGTTAAGTGATGCGTCGGTTGATTGCTGTTGATTTAAGAGAAAAACTCAGATGTACAATCATTAAATCTACTCCTTGATAATTATATTATATACATGTTTGATATAGAGCTCTATAAGGGAAACATAAAAATAGATAAGAAACCATCTGGAAGGGTACAACCAATGCATAAACTTAGTGGAGAAAACACCATTAAACATACTTATACTAATAAATCAATTAATATAAACACTGATCGGTGTCTACATTTGTTATAACATAAAACATGTAATTCTTAGAATTGAATGCTCCTTTCGTGTAAGTTAAAAGAGAGGCGAAAGATACCAGAGGGACATTCAAACTCATAAGTCGAAAATAAACTGACAACGCCATGGCTGAAAAAGAAAAAGACAAACAGACAAACAACAGTACACAAAACATAACATAAAAAACTAAAGACTTAGCAACACGAACCCCACC